AGGACCCAAGTCCCCCTTGGGGCGGCATTCCTTCAGTTTGGCATCTAACTTGGTGGCTGCCCGGTACCACTTATTCAGCCGTGGAGGTAGACCCTGGTATACACAGGCCTGGCGCAGACTCCTGATCAAGACCTGTCTTGAACTAATGGACCAACAACTGCTCCAGCCATTGTCGTAACTTCCCAGAAAGCTGGCAGAACTACTGGATATAGTCTGGCACCAGTCAGGTTCCCTGCTTTAGCACCATAAATTCCCCTTTGGCCACTGGGCCTGGGTCACATCCTCGAAACCGTCTTGCAAGGCTTCCAACAGTAGACTGGCATCCCCCAACTCCCAAGCGTTCTCACTATAAGGATCCACTACCTAGTCTGCAGCTTCCCATTCCAATGCCACCATCACCATGGCCCAGTGGCTGGGGTATAAGTGGGCAAAGTGGTTTAGGTGGCTAACAACCTGGCTCAGGAACAAAGCCAGCCTGGCAGGCTCACCATCAAAGATAGCTCTCAGGTGTGGTAGCTCCAGGGTATGGCTGTGGCTGCCAATAGCCTATAGGAGCTCCTTGGCCTGAGGAGGCCGAGCCAGCCAGCCGATGGTCAGGCCCTCCAAGGGGAGGTGCTCAATGCCAATTGGGAGGCAGGGGGCAACAGGCTGAGGCCTCATCAGCTGGGAGTGACTGTCTGCTAACCTTGCCATCTTCTCAGTAACTGGTCCCTTTTGCAGTCCTGGTTCTGCTGACGCTAACCCCATCGCTATTTCGCTCACCGGCTGGGGTTCCTCGGATTTGCTGTAGCCTGTACCTAGGTGGAACCTCGGGCTGGCTAGTTGGAACCACATAGGTGGGATAACTGGTCTCTGGTCAGGTGATGGCCTCCAAGCAGCCGCCTCCCCCCCTGGCTCCTAACAATTTTTTTCTAAAAAATAGCAGCAAAACATTTCTACAGAATAGGAAGATGAATCTCCACTGCAAATTTTAAAGATGTTGGGGTTATATTTTGCTGCTTAATGAAAAGAACTAGGTCTAGTAGTAACAAAATACACAGATCGATAGCTTCAAAATCCAGAATGGGACATCTCACCACAGCCAATTTGCCACAGGACAACTCACCATAGCCAACTCTCCGTGGAACAATTTAACAATTCAATTATTTAAAATAAACATTATTCTAATTTTTGTCATTCACATTTCATTTTGTCCCTCCTTTTGCTCTTTTCCTTAATTATTCTAGTTCACCATTTCTTTGATATTGGTGTAGCTCTTGTCCTGCAGTGAGTTGTCCCGTGATGTGGCTAGTTGTCCCATGATGAGTTGGCCATGGCAAGATGGCTGTAGCGAATTGTTATAGATCCCCCAAATCAAGAGCCCATTAAAACTAAAAGGAGGGGAAACAAAGGAGAAATTATCTGTCAAGTCTTGATGCAGGGCAGTTATCAAGAAAAAAGACACCAAAGGAAGTTCTGTCAGCAAGAACTCTATAAAATCATATTGCACAGTTTCCTAAATAGTCATTTTTTAAAAATGACATTTATATCAGGGGTGAAATGCTCTTGGTTCGGACCGGATCACCCGATCCGGTAGCGATGGAGGGGGTGGTTTGGAGAACTGGTAGCAAAAATCCCTGCCCCCCCCAATTGCCCAGCTGAGCCGGGCAATCATCAGAGGCTTTTTTTTTAATTTTTAAAAGCATTTTTTCTACAACCTCTTTGGCCGAAAAAATACTTTAAAAGTAAAAAAAAAAGCCTCTGATGATCGTGCGGCTCAGCTGGGATCATCAGAGGCTTTTAAAAGCATTTTTTTACAACCTCTTCAGCCAAAGAGGTTGTAGAAAAAATGGTTTTAAAAATAAAAAAAAAAGGTTGGTCACGCCCACTCAGTCATATTCCCACCACCACCACCAAGCCACACCCACAGAACTGGTAGTAACAAATTTTATATTTCACCACTGATTTATATGGATAGAAAATAAATATGAAGTTTTAACTATATAATCAAGAGCAAACAATCCTTTATCTTGGAAGCCATATATAAAATATATAAAGTATGTATTTTATATACTTTAAGTATAAAATAATATGGAGGACAAGAGATTTAGACCAAATGTACTAATTTATTCTAAGCTAGCAAGTTATATACCTCCAAATTGTCTGTGTAATATAGGACAGAGGGCATTTTCTTCTAATGGATAGTTGCAGTTTTAAAAAAGCCAGACACATAACTGTGTTATGTTAAGACAGAAAAACAAAGAAGTTGATGATAATAATAACAATTTTTAAAAATCCCACAAAGAACGGAGCTAGTTTTTTAAAAAACTCCTTAAAATTAAAGTACGATAAAAATATATTTAACCAAGGTAATTTGATATATGAAGCTAACTTCTCCAGGAAGATAATTTGACAGGGTTCAGTAAAAGGAAGTATTAGAGTTTTTTATAAGACATATTGAAGTGTTCTTAAAGCAGATTTTAAATAACAGTGCAAATTAAGAAAATTTAGTTAATCATTTTCATCAAAGAACAACTAAAAATAAATTCAGACTTATCATTTGAGAGTCTTGTTTATTGAAAAAAGTTGGAAACTGATTATAATTATGTGTGATGATACACGGAAATACTTTTTTCAAAGTTTCTACCACACCTTCCTTAGAATTCCTTTCCCCCATCAACAGGAGAGCCAATTATATCTGGTCATTTCAGGGGTGGGTTGCCCCCGGTTCGCACTGGTTCTATAGAACCAGTAGTAAAACTGGTGGGAGGCTCCACCCACTGACCCTGACGTCATGAAAATGCTTCTGCACATGCGCAGAAGAGCGTGTGCACGCGACTCCATTGCGAAACAGTAGTAAAGGTAAGTAGAACTCACCCCTGGGTCATTTCTATTTACCAGGGGTATAAAAACACAAATAAATAGATGCTTTAGTTTAACTGATCATAATCATGAGTTCTACAGAGTAAAACTAGAAATCAGCTTCTTCACCTGGCACCCTAGACCTATCTACCAATTATGCATTCAAAAATATTAAAACCATAGAGAGAGAGACAGACTGGATCTGTCATTTAAGAAATGTATCAATGGGTATTGTAAAAATTAGAATGGAAAAATATAACCTACATTTGTATCAGCATGAATTTGGAAGTTTATGTTCACTGTAGGCTTTATATTCATTTGAACATTTGGGAACATTGTAAATTATAAAGAATACAACTTTTTCAGTAAAGTTAATAGAATTAAGGTATTTTATGGTATATCTCAACTGTTAATTTAAAAAGAAATTTAATCTATTGAGAATTTTTACTAAATTTCAGTGTTGAATTACATGTATCAACTGATTATACATCAATTTCACTCAGTTCTTGAATCAAATTTATAACTGCAAAATAAATGCTTACATATATTAGAAACCTTTTTATTGATCCTGTTAGTACTGTAAGTAAATAGTTCAGTGATTATGATTTGAAATGCTTTATAATAATTCTCTGCATAATTACCTATTTTTTGTTTCAATCAACATATATTTCAATGAACATGTTTATTAAAATATTATATATTAAATCCTCTGAAATCAGTACATTCTTCTTACTATATTGAAGAAGAATTGACCCATTTTTTTATCATGAAAAGATGGCCTTACCTTTTACAATCTTTCCCCATTTTCTTTCATGGTGGCTTCTTGAAACTTTGGATTTTTAAAAACATTAAGATATCACTTCAAATAATTATGGGAAACCCTATATAGCAGGAGTGAAATGCTCCCGGTTCGGACCAGATCGGGCGATCCGGTAGTGATTGTGGCAGGTGATTCGGAGAACCGGTAGCGATGGCGATGCAAGGCTCTGCCCACCCACCTGGGTGTCATTACTTCCTACTTTTCAAAGGAAAAAAAAGGCTCTGATGATTGCTCGCCACAACTGTGATCATCAGAGCCTTTTTTTACCTTTGAAAAGCATTTTTACAACCTATTTGCCCAAATAGGTTGTAAAAAATGCTTTTAAAAGTAAAAAAAAGGCTCTGACGATCGCTCGCCAGAACTGTGATCGTCAGAGCCTTTTTTTACCTTTTAAAAGCATTTTTACAACCTATTTGCCAGAATAGGTTGTTAAAAAATGCTTTAAAAAAGTAAAAAAAAAAAAAAAAAGTTGGCTACGCCCACCCAGTCACATTACTCCCCCCACCAAGCCATGCCCACAGAACCGGTAGTAACAAATTTTTCATTTCACCACTGCTATATAGCTTCCTGTTACCATGAAACCATACGTTGTGCAGTATAAAATGATTGACACATCTGAGAAGTATGCCTGATTTGATTCAGTACACATCTGGATTTGCCCAGTATTTTTTATTGCCTTTATGGTTTATAATGGTGTACCTATAGATTACATTTATAAAAGTGAGACTATGTGTCCTGCTCCAGGGTAGTAGACATGAACATGCTGCCATATAGAATTATTTTAAATAATTTTATGGTTCGTTACAGTTGTTGCCTGACAATTGAGAATATGCTTCATATCACACAAATCTAAGTCAGATGATGAATCATTACAAATAAATGAATACCATCCGAAGATAGTTACCACAAAATTTAAAATAATTTACATCTAATATATACTGTTCAAAAAAATAAAGGGAAAATAAGCAGAAGACATCCGAGATCTGAATGAATGAAACAGCCTTATTAAATACTTTGGTCTTTACATACAGTAGTTTATACACTGCTCAAACAACTAAAGGGAACACAAAACTACTGTATGTAACGAACAAAGTATTTAATGAGGCTATTTCATTCATTCAGATCTCAGATGTCTTCTGCTTATGTTCCCTTTATTTTTTTGAGCAATGATCTTGAGTGTTTTTTGAGGAATGGAATGGAATCACTTTTTTAAAATTATTCAGAGTAGTATTCTATTGTATCACTGTTAGCAGATGAATTTTAGATGGATGAGAAATGTATGTTGGATGATAGTATGAAAAAACTTTTCAAATTCTTTCCCATAATGTCTTTTTCTTAGGGTATGTACATTAAATCTACATATGATGGTCTCCATGTAATTACTGGAACAACAGAAAATGTAAGTATTGATAATACATTTTGCTGAGGTGTGGAGCATTTTTAAATTTAACTTTAGATTAAATTATCCCTGTGATTACCTATCTTAATTGCAAAGGATCAAGAATATATTATATTGCTTATGCATCCATAGCTCACCCTATGGACACTCCACTGTAATAATTTATATAATAGCCACCCTAAATACGGTATATAGTGCAGTAGTTGGAATTTCAGAAACTCTCCAACTCTCATCTAAATCCACTTGTGCAGTTCAAATAATAATACAAAACAGATTAGTTTGACATTAATTTATGCATAAAACATTACAGATTGTTCCTTCACTCCTATACCACACACTAGGAAATAACTATCTTTAATTTGTAAGGGCTTACTGTGTCATGCAAATGAAGCACACTGGAAACTTCCAGTGGGAATAAACAATGGAGGGGTCTCTAGCTCAGGTCAAATTTATGACAATGTTCTTTTCCACAAGTTACTTTTGCACTAAATTCACACAGTACATAGTAAATTCTATGGCTGGCTGACCAATCCACAGACTTGAAGGGATAAACGGGTCACTGCACTTAGGTATGTGCATTGATAAATCTGGCTTGTGATTTGATATGATATGATATGATATGATATGATATGATATATGATATGATATGATATGATATATATGATATGGACATTGTCTTCTTAAAAGAAAGATCAGACTTTTCAATTCTGATAAAGACCTAACATCTCTAAATATAAACTATTTTAACAATAATCTTAGCAGTCATCATATGGTTTATTTTGTTATAGAAGGTCCTTGTTTAAATATTTATTTCCAATTTACCAAAACTAGAAGGATCCCCATCCCTGTACAATTGAACACATGGATGAATTTAACTGAATGTATGTAAGCCAGAGTTAAAGTTTGCTGCTACAGTTGTCTTACCCTTTCATATTATTTGAATCCTCATAAGTAATTGAGAGGGCTACTAATGCTCCATTTTTAGGTCAGCACAATAAACATGAATGCCGAATCTAGTTTTCTTTTCTGTTGGTTTATATTACTTGGTTAACATTTCTCTTAGGGTGGAAATGATATCAGATCAAGTTATCTGAGTTGCTCCTTCATACACATTATGTGAGTGATCCGATGGGTGTCACACCTAATTTCTCAACTAGGGCAGGGTTAACCAGACATCTGGTGAACCCCAAGTCCAAGAGGGCTACTAGGCTCCCCTTAAATTGAACCACCAGTTCTATAGGAATGGTCACTGCGTTGACCAGGTGACTTACCAAGGGATCAGTGGTTGTAGTCTGATACGTTTTCCACTGGACTGTCTGCCAGGCTGGTTGGAGTTCTCTCACCATCCTTGGGAGATGTGTTGAACTCTATGACTTATATTTCTTTCAGGGCTATCTCTCTATGGTGGTTTTGCCAATTTTTTGGCAGGACCCGGAGTCACCTTCTGGGTTGGACATGCAGCTTAGCAATCAGCAGTTCAGTGTCCCTCCTTCCTGAACCTAAAGCAGCCAATAGATCATCAGTGTGGGCTCTGCTCATATGGCAATTTTTTCTGAGCCTCCTCCTTTTCAGGGTGGAATCTTTGCCACCCACAGTTTGGCCAATATTTGAATCGAACCAGGTCAAGCAAGGAGATACCAGCTATGGAGGTGGGGGGGGGTCTCCCCTGGTGTTGTGGCCCGCCAGCAGCCTGCGTGGATTGTGCTGATCCCGACGATGAGGAGAATGGTGTGGTGTTGCGCCAGCAGTTTGCGCAGCCGGCGCTCACGTCGGACAGTGAGGAGGCTGAAGAGGATATAGTGCCAGAGGCAGAGACTCAGCCAGGGCCTTCAGAACCTCCAGAGGCTCCTTCAAGTGGAGAGAGCGAAGTGGAGGAGCCTCTTCTCAATGCTTGAGCACGCAGGGCTGCCAAAAGATAGGAGTGGCTACTCAGGAGGAGGAGGTCTCCTCGAGAGTAAGGCTTGAGGATAATTGGCCACTCCCTTAGCCTATTTAAGTCACACGTCGTTAGTAAGTTTCTTGCTAGAAACAACTTGTAATTATCAACAAAGCATTTTTGGAAAAGTCTTATCTTGCTTTTTGGGCTGGTTGCCAACCTTTGCCGGACTTTGGTTTATTCTTGCTACTTAATAAATGTGATAAGGACCATTAGTGTGTGTCTATATCCTCAGAAATCCGAGGAGCTGGGGCAGAACACCTGGAGACACGGGTGTTGTAGACCTTGTCACTTAATCTGTCTCGGAAGCATATGATCAAGATGTCTTCTGGCCAGTCAGTCAGTTGGCAGGCCAGGTTGCAAAAATCCTGGGTGTACTTGGCCATTCCCCTGAAGCCTTGTCTGATGATTTTTATGTGGTCTCTGGCTTTGTGATCAGCTAAGGCAGTGGTTCTCAACCTTCCTAATGCCGCGACCCTTTAATACAGTTCCTCATGTTGTGGTGACCCCCAACCAGGGGTGGGTTCTAAATTTTTTTTACTACCGGTTCTGAGGGCGTGGCTTATTTTGTGGGCATGGCTTGGAGGTCATGTGACTGGGTGGGCATGGCTAGCTGGTCATGTGACCGGGTGGCCATGGCTATGTGTATACGGACTACTCAGAGGGCTGAAAAAAGTCATTTCTGGCAGGTCCTCGCACTTTTGACTGGTCCTCACACTTATGACCATCCTCATATTTATGCCTGTGCAGCATTCTTAACAATCATGTCACTCATTTCACAACTGCTTCTTTTCACCATGGTGATAAGATAGGGCAAAAAACATAAAATGTGAGGATAGTCGTAAATTCGAGATCTGGTCAAAAGTGCGAGGACCAGAGTAGTCCATGTGCACAAAAGGACTATCCAGAGGGCTGAAAAAAGTGATTTCTGACAGGTCCTCGCACTTTTGACTGGTCTTCGCACTTATGACTGGTCATCATTTATGCCCATTGTAGCATTCTTAACAACTGTGTCACTCATTTCACAACTGCTTCTCTTCACCATGGTGACAAGATAGGGCAAAAACGTAAAATGTGAGGACAGTCGTAAGTTTGAGGACTGGTCAAAAGTGCGAGGACCAGTCAAAAATAACTTTTTCAGCCCTCTGAGTAGTCCATATACACAAAAGGACTACCCAGAGGGCTGAAAAAAGTGATTTTTGACAGGTCCTCACACTTTTGACCGGTCTTCGCACTTATGACTGGTCATCATTTATGCCCATTGTAGCATTCTTAACAACCATGTCACTCATTTCACAACTGCTTCTCTTCACCATGGTGACAAGATAGGGCAAAAACGTAAAATGTGAGGACAGTCGTAAGTTCGAGGACTGGTCAAAAGTGCGAGGACCAGTCAGAAATAACTTTTTCAGCCCTCTGAGTAGTCCATATGCATAAAAGGATACAGCAATAGAGAGGGAGGAAGGAAGGGAAGGGAAATTCGAGTAGGAGTGAGGATAAGAGAGGGAGGAAGAGAGGAGGAGAAGGAGAAAGGAAGAGGACGTAGGGAGGAGAAGAAGAGGGGGAGGAAGAGAAAGTAAGAAGGGAAGAAAAGAGAGAGGTGGAAGGTTTGAGGAGAAAGATTGCTGTATAATAAAAAAGATGAAAGGGAAGAAAGCCAACCCCAAACAAATATAAAGATATTAAGATAAAGAATGAATTGTTAAACTTTAAAGAATAAAAGAGAACAAATATGAATAAATAACAATAATTAGAAACACACATACAAACATACAATGTATTTTCTTTGAACAGAGTATTTGGCCGGTTCACAAATTTAACCAGTGTTTAGTCATTTCAATTAAATTTACAATTTCTATATTTCCTTTTTGCCATATTTATTCCTCATCTATTTTTGTAAAAAACCAATATTACCTTTCATCCTCATCTCTAATCTTAATCAAATTCAATTTTTCCCTTCTATTCTATATTATATCCCTTCCCATTGTCATCTATTTTTATATCCATCCTCATATTGGTTAATTATGTAATATTACAGTTGTTTAATATAAATTCAACATTTTAATATAAATCAATTATATATAACTACCTTTTTTGTATATTAATCAATATGAACATGAATATTCCAATTATTTCCATGCAATCCAATTTCTTACAAATCAATTAATTATATTTACCAATAATAATAAACCAAAAATTTTCCCCCATATATTCCTCCAAACCACAACTTAACCATTTCTGCTTTCAACACAATATACAATTAATAGTATCTCAATTATTACAATTCCCTAGTTAAATAGAGCTTTTTTTCTTTTGTGTTTTAAAATCTTGAACTCTCCTCTTTTCCCCTAAATTTCCCATTGTTTGCACCTACCTTTTTTGGTGAGGAAAAAGAAAAGAAATCTGCCTGCCTAATTTCCAACGTTGCAGCAACAGCAAAGCCAACAGCCTGCTTTACTTTCAGTTTCGTTTTTCAGCATAGCTAGGGGGGGAAAAACTGCTCCAGCAAGCAAACAAGCAACAGAGCCCTGAGCAAAACCGCTGAGAGCAAATCAGCTGAGAGTCAGGAGCCGATCTAATCAAGGGCTAATTAGCCTATGTTGAAGCTCCGCGGGCCAATAAAATTACAAAAAAATACCGAACCGTTTGTTAAATTGCTGGCTCGCCCGCCCCTCGCCCACCACTATTTATTGGCAATAAATAGTGGTGCGGAGAGGCGGGGCAAGGGGCGGAACCGGCAGAATCCCACCACTGGCTATAGGGCGGCCCTTTGAAGCCCCGCGGCAAGAATTTAAACAGTTTTTTTTCCTCTAGCCATCAGTTGGGACTCAGGAGGCAGCAATAGATTGGGAGTGGGCGGGGTAAGCGAACGGTCGGCGATCCAACAGAGCAGAGAGTGAGGGTGAGTGAAGGCGTGGGGAGGGGGCGAGAGAGGGCTTTGGCGACCCCTGTGAAATGGCCGTTCGACCTCCAAAGGGGTCGTGACCTCCAGGTTGAGAACCACTGAGCTAAGGGGACTTCGAAGTGCTTCCAAAGGGTGGCCATGAAGCCGCCGAAGTTTCTCAGCTCTGAGGCATCGTCGTTGTGGAGGGTGGCCATCCATTCAGCCATGGTCCCCTCCAACGCCATGGTCACACACCATACCTTAGCCCCTTTGATGGCTATTTCTAGACCATACTCTTCCATGTATGTCCAAACAAGCGCCAGGAAGAACCCCAACTGCTTGGGGTCTCCATTGAACTTTACGCCCAGGGCTGGTGTCTTGCATCCTCTCTGCCACTCTGGCACTATTCCTATAGCCAATGCAGCCTGGGCTGCAGGGCCAGGTGCAGGAGCAGCTGCCACTGCTATGGGTCCCACTGCTGCTGCCATTGTGGCAGCAGAAGTGGTTGCCTCATCTCTTGCCATGGCTGAAGTTGGCTGGTCAGTGAGGTTTGCCACCTGGGCCAGGTCTTCTTGTGCTTTAAGGTTGCCAAAAGTCCCCCTCAGGAACTTTATGGTTGCCCCAGCATCCAGTCCTCTCAATCCAGCTTGCCTACAATCAGTTCTTCCTCCTGCTCCTCCAGCTCCACCGCATCTCCTGCAGGCAGCTGCTACAATTCCCATGGGTGAATGTCACTTCCATGGGCTTCTCTTCCCATTCTTCCTTTTTCCTGACCCCAAGGGACATCAGGGTCTTAATAGGTCATCCTCTCCCAGCTACTCGGATAGATCCAGCCCTCCAGGAGGGGGTTTCGAGGATGCTTCCCCCCAGGCTTTGATCTCTTCCTGATCACTCCCTTGAGCTGACATTGTTTGCATGGTCCCCATGGTAGAGGCAATTTCCTTTCCATGTTGACCACAACTGCAGAGCTCGCCTAATGTCAGACCTACTTTAATCTGATCACTTAGGGAAGAAAGACCTTTGATTCTATTTGGTTGAAACAAAAGATTCTTTTTACTAAAAGATGTTTGCTGCAGTAATGCCAGGTGAGCTCTGGGTTTCCTATGCTCAAAAGATACAGAAATGTTTTCCCTCATCTCAGCCCTCCCTCTGTGACCAATCTGTCTTCAGCTAATCAGAACTTAAAGTCAAAGTGTTTTGAGAATGCTGAGATGTTTTGGTGTAAATCACATTCTTTCTCAGGGTGCCTGGCCTTGGATGCTGATTCAAACTGGCTCCAAGCTTCTCTGGTCTTTATCACCTGTCATTCCCCCCTCCCTATTTCCCATCACATACACAACTTTATTGCCAATCTATCCTCCCCCCTTTTAGTTTTCGATGGCAGGATGCCTGTGAGGTGCCAAGCTTTGAATATTAGCAACTGCTCCATTCTAAGTTTCATTCCCCTCAATCACATAATGTAAAAAGAGCATTTCAGTTTTCCATGTATTTTCCAAGTCATACACTTATACAAAGATATAGCTATTGCTGGTAAAAGGGCATGGAAATAATTCAAAAAGATACATTCAATGTGCTTCATTTATTTTATTTTTATCACATGTTAGAAGTCAGTAAGTGCTGGTATAAAATACTGCTAGGATAAGCCATATTTTTGTGTTTTTAAAATAGATTTTGTAATTTCCAGATGGGTAGATCAATTCTGGGATATACATAGAAAGTGTATAAGGAATAGCAAAACTGTATAGAACTCTGTTACATACATAATAATCCTCTGACTGTATTTTAGGATCATTTGCACTTAAAACTATTGCCTAAAAATTGTGAAAATTTATGTTATCGTTGTAGTAACAACAAAACTTAATACAGTCAGAGATCCAAAACACATATAATAAGAGAACTGTAAATTAATTACTTATAACTAAATGAGCTATCATTGGCAGTTTATGTAAAAGAATCCAAACTCTAAAAGGCAGTTTTAGCATTAGAATTTAAAAAATGCTTTCAAATAACAGAAATTAAATAGAAGCTTTTGTATTATGAATTTTCTTTGGAGAGACATTGTTATGAAACATATTTGTGTTTTCATGGATTAGAATAAATTGAATAAACTGTAGAAAAATATATAATATGGCCTATCTGAAAATGATATGTCTTAGTATCTTATTGTTAAGAAATGTTATGGAGGCTACAGAAAATGCCTTTTGCTTTTAAATTTAGTATATCCAATTTAAGTGGGTCTAATTTAAGTGGGTTGCATTTAATTTTAATTTAATTTAATTTAATTTTAATTTAATTTTAAGTGGGTTGCATTCTGAGAATAGTTTCCATTTATTTGTTTCTTCTAAATATCCTTATTGTATAAACTGTGGGATTCTGTGTTATAAACGATTCAAAATGCCTTTTCATTTGGGATACATTTAGTGTGTCTGTTATAAATGAAATGCATGTGATACTCTTAGCACTTTCTTTATCCCGTGGAGGGAAAATCAGTGATGTCAAGGAGTTGCCTTTGAAACAGTTAATATAGAGGACTGAAAATCATCCACCTTTGTTCACAAAACCATGATCATGTTAATGTTTCTTTGTAGATATGATTGTAAAGATAACTTGTCTTCCAGCCTCTCATACCAATCCATATCTCCACATAAAGGGCAGCCTTCATGCTAGACATTCAGTATACATCCCCAGCAAGTAAGAGGTGTTTTCAGTAATGTACAGAATGAGATACCCAAACCTTCCTTTTATGAAAGATAGCGAAGGTTGGTTATTTTAAAACAAATACTAAAAATATATGTATTGACATTAGAAAAGTGCAGAGTTTATCATTTTCCTAGCAACCCCTGATGAAAACTGAATTTCCAAGTATCTGGAGAAGTCAGGTAATTGGTGCAGAGGAAACATGCATTGCAGGAATTGTTCTATTTCCTGGCAAAATATTTATCTAGGAATTAGTACTAGATTGATTTATGTTTGCTGTGTAATACTAAAGAGCCAGATTTTTTTTCCTTTAAGGAAATGTTGGGATAGTTAATATTCATTTATATCAAATCTACAATTTTGTCGTCTGTTAGATTTTTTTCTTTTTTCTTTTTTTTTTTAAATTGTCAGCTGTACTATCGTGATTTGGGCAGCTCTGTAATTTATATTTTTATATTTTTGTGCATTTGGATTTCTAATATTTATAATTAAAAATGAACTTTTTATCTTTCATTTTGTACAATGAAGTTTATATTTAGTTTTCCTCTTCTAAAATTGATCTGCCTCCCATGAGGGAAGAAGGATTTTATTCTCTAGATGTGCCTGTACATTACATGATCAGGAGGTTGCAAAATTGAAACTACTTCTACTTTTTGTTCTTTAAACATTTAATTACTAGAAAAGCAGCATGGGATGTGAAAGGCTATCTCTCATATACTTTGGGTTAGATAATACACATCAAGTGAGCAGCCCCAGAATATAGCTGGTAGCAACAGGAGTTAATAAGTCACTATCCCAAAACTGGAAGAAAGGATAGGATGTGAAGGGCTTCTTGTGAAGAAAGTTTGAGACCTCCATCCTTATATCTTATAGATTCAGTTGTTTGCTACAGCTTGTGAGATTTCCTTTTTCTAGCTGATATTACCACTTAAACAAAAAAGCTTCTAACCAGCCACAGATGGATTTTTGAAGGGGATCTTTAAACAAAATTCCTATTAGAAAGGTAATTCACAATTTACCCTTAGAATCCAATAACCAGCATTCAGAATGGGTAGAATATTGAACAGAGTACCTGATTAATGAGATGGAATTCCTACGACCAGATTACTCTATGTCCACCCAAATCTTACTTGTTGTACAGTACCAAAAAGTAGATGGCAAATGAACTAGGCGAAATGACTTCTTCCTCTTCAGCCTATTTTCTGATTTATTTATTTACATTTACAAATTACATAGGTAGTTTTTTCAGGATTAAATACAGCAATCCACCTGGAACTGAAAAACATAACTTTTTCAGTTGTAGATGCTACCATAATGGTAGCATTCTGCTTCAGTTTGGCTGAAGTCTGTTCTGCCTTCGTCCTGTTTGGATTTTAAAGCAGATATTGCTGTGTTTTAAATTTTTAAAAAATACCGTCTTGGCAATTAGTGGATTTTTATTGATGAGGTTTTTGAGTCGTTACTTTCATGAGCTGGTATGAACAGATTTGCTACTTATCTCACAAACAAGTACTTTGCTAGAATTTTCACATATAGAAAAAAGATAATGAACATTCATGTTCAAATTAAAAAACAGTTACAGAAATAAACATTTTAGAAATATTTTGCTATCTCTGCAGATTTTACATTTATACTTGGCAAATATCTAATTGGTGGTCAATTGGATAACCATATTAAAAAGACTCTTTATATTGCAACTATTAATACAATTATATTAAAATACATAAAACATTCCTCTCCCCCCCCTCTCAAAATCCTAAAGAAAATGTTCTGACTGTTGAAAGATCGTATTTAAAAAGAATGGGGGAAGAACAATGGAAGATAATGAGTTAAACTTGAATGTTTGAGAGTTATTTTGAAATAATAGTTTCTATGCGGAATTATGAATTTACTTAATTGCTTAATTGTGATTTTATATTTGTGGTTTTCTATTTGTTTCCATAATTACATCCTAACTGGAAAATAATAAAAATTGACATATGACCAAGAATTCCAAGCTTACATATTTTAAAAATTTAAAATAAATTTATACATTTACAAAACTATTTTGTGAAGTTTCCGAAAGATGCCCTAATTAATTCATGAGCCATGAGCCAAACTTCAAAAGAAATACAGTCATTTATTAGAAAAATTCCAGGAAAATACTGGAAATTTTAAATACAATTTCCCTAGCTTAATTTTTCTTTCTTTCTTTCTTTCTTTCTTTTTTTTTTTTTTTTGCAAAAGGAGAGATGATAATCTGTAAGAATTGTATTCTTTATCATCTCTTTTATTTTAAATTCAGTCACCTGCAGATCGATGTAAGAAAATCCATGCTGGCGATGAAGTGATTCAAGTTAATCACCAAACTGTGGTATGTATAATTTAATTCTTTTCATTTGAAGATGAAGATGCATTAGTTTATCAGCAACTCATGTTAACAAATTTGGTTATTATGTTGAGCAGCATCTGCATGAAATATTTAAAAATTAATAATTCTTGTGATGTTTATATGTAGTCACTTCTTCAACAATTTAAAAAAAATATAGCTGGCCAGTTTATAAAAGTTAGATGCTCCCTCTTAAAAAAAAGTTTTGTTTTTCATGATAATTTGCTGCTATTTAATGGGTATATTGAGCCATGGTGGAGCAGTGGTTAGAATTCAGTACTGCTGCAAGCTGCTTCTGCTGACTGCTGATTGTCAGCAGTTCGGCAGTGCAAATCTCACCGGCTCAAGGTTGACTCAATCTTCCATCCTTCTGAGGTCAGTAAAATGAGAACCCAGATTGTTGGGGGCAATATGATGACTCTATAAACTGCTTAGAGAGGGCTGTAAACACTTTGAAGCAGTATATAAGTCTAAGTGCTATTGCCACAGGATATTACTTTCTTAGAAATAGCAGCTGAATATGTCACTCGTATCATGAGAAAAGCACCGGTGAATTTCAGTCACTCCTACGACATTACCTTATGCAATTAAAAGATTTCTCTATTAATACATATTTGCTAATATTCATACAGGAGAATTTGTATAAAGAAACCTCTATCAGGACAAAATCTTAGGGTATTAAACATTTAAACCCTTGGCGGATTTCTTATTTTCATAGTATTGGTATAAATGCTATGGCATAAAAATTGGAATCAGAAGTATTAATTTATTTTGTTTTTGATACTTTAGTTGGATAATATATACTTTATTTCATTCCTTATAATGTGAGGAAAAACATATTTTAGCTATTAGGATGAAATAATATTAATAAACTTTGCAGTGGGCCTCAGCAGTTAGCAAAATCTAGCTGAGCATGGCTATTCTCTGAAGATAAGCAGGATCAGGCTAAATTAGCACTTGTATGAAAGTTGGCCTAGGAAATTCAAGTCTGTTTTCCTGATTGTAAAGTAAAAAAAAAATATATCCTGGAAGAAAACAATGGCAAACATCTGTAACACTGTACAAAACCCCCACTATAATAGATTAAGTATGCAGAAACTGAGGTCAATTTGAGTGAGTTTGTAAATTTATTTAGTCTGGCAATGAAAGCTCTATAACTTGGGATGATGTTAGGATGATGTTGATGCTCCTACATTTCTATAGCAATGTGAAACCTGAGCCATATGAAGTGTCATATGTAAAGGGCAGATGAAGATGTTATGCTATACAGGATTGACCATTTGGCATTGCAGTGGGACGGATATGGGCTAGCAGGGCTCCATGAAACTCAGTGAATACCTGTTTGCCAGGAGACCCTACGGAGCCAAAGCCACCCTGGAGGTATGGTGTCGATTGTGAGGAAATGGCAATTTCCTTGCTTGATCCAAAGAAATCCTCCTGACTGATAGCAGAGACAACAACGATTATGGCCAGACCAAAGCTGTGACAACCAGGACAAGAAGATTATGAGCCGGTGGTTTGTGAACAGAAGATTGGAACTGGGTGATACGATTTTCAAGTTCTATATTAGAAACTTAAACCCAAATAAAATAATTTTTTAAAAAAAGACTCTCCAAAATGCTGAGAAAGTGGCGAGTTAACACACAGAGATAGATTACAGGCCCCAAAGAGAAACACATCTTAATGTAAGACTATGAAATTTTAAAATATAGAAAGACCGGACTGGAACTTGTAATATTGTGAAAATACTGTGGATAATACTGTCTGAGTAATGGAAGAAATCATATAAAGAAAAATGGTTTTTCTCTCTCGATCTTTTGACAATCAGCTGTTATATCTTTGCTTCGTTTAATGCTGGAACTTACTATTACATGGTGGGAAAGGGCCTTGACAGAAAATGAGGATTGATAACAGAAGGAAAACAAGGAGGAGGAGAAAGGAAATAGTGAAAGGCAAACAACACCTGGAAGACCTTTTTATTTTGGTTTCATATCTATTTGCTTTCTGACTGCTTGGAAGTAACCGATGAGCCTTTTAAAGATTTTTAAGGCAGTGAGGACTATAATTAACAAGAATTACCCTTGAAACTGAATACTTGACTTGGTGGATTAATGAGATTTTGGAAATTTGGTGGGCTACTCTGGATTATTAATACCAGAACATTCTACAAGGCAAAAGAAGAAAGAAGAAAAAATAAACAAGACTTATAAATTTGGATAACTTCCACTGCAAATTGGAAAATTCTGAGGACTATAAATTTTGTGGATTTTAAGGAACAGTTCTGGGACTGAGCAAATTTTACTAATATTGGGATTTTTTGTGTGTTTCTGGGCAATTGGGACATTGGGATCTTGGTGGATTATTGAGTAACCTTCAGCTATTAAATTAATGCAAAATGTTTCAACAGGAAAAAACAAATACATTTCAAAAAGAAATACTATTGATGCTTCAATGTATTCAGGAAACTATGACAAGGAATCATAGGGAGATGAGGGAATTGATGCAGGATACAGATGTGAGACTAGAAAACCCTCAGCAAATAACAATGAAAGATGAACAAAAAAATGCAGAAAGTAGGATTTTGACCAGTTGGCATCGCAGCGGGATGGTTAATGGGCCAACAGAGCTCCATGAGGGCTTCACAAAATCTAGTTGATACCTGCCTGCCAAGAGACCCTACGGGGCCAAAGCCACCCTGCAGGGGTGGTGAAGTAAGGAGAGATGCTTTGTAGATCATGAGGAAACAGCAATTTCCTCATTTGATCCAAAGAAAACCCTCCTGATTGGCAGCAGAGACTATGGCCGTTTTTGGCAAGACTGAAGTTGTGACAACTGGGACAAAAAGAATATGTGCTGGAGCGAGTTGGTTTGAAACTGGGTGAGATAACTTTCATCTTCTATATTAAAGACTTAAACCCAAATAAAAAAACTTTCAAAAAAAGATTCTCCAAAAAGTTAAGAAAGCGGTGATTTGTTACATGGAGAAAGATCACAGACCTAAATGTGAAACAAACTATCAAGGGAAGATTGTGAAGTCTTAAAATAAAGAAGGACTGGAACTGTTAGCAGTGTGAAAAGGGATTTAATTTGTGGATAGTATTACTTGATTATTGGAAGAACTCATGCAAAGAAAGAGGGATTTTGCTTCTCATGTCTCCTATTTTTTCCCTGAATTGTATGGTGGTTAAAGCTGGATTTTAGGGTGGGGGCACCATCTACTGGTTAAAGAAGATATTATTATTAGTATTTTGTGGGAATAACTTTGGACTAAGAATTACTTGATATAATACAAGAATAACAAAAAGAGGAGTACTGAAAGACAAACAACACTTGGAAGGCCTTTTTATTTTGGTTCCATATCAACTGGAGTTTTGGCTGCCTGGAAGTATTAGGGAGCCGTTTGAAGATTTTTAAGGCAGGGTGGATTACAATTAACAAGCAACATCTTTGAAACTGCATATCTGACTTTGTGGATTTAAGGCATTTAGGGAAATTTGGTAGGCCAATTTGGAATACTAAGAAGAAAGAAGAAAAATTTAATAAGACTTAAAGTTTGGAAAATTCAGCGGGTACAAATTTGAAGGACTATAAATTTAGGGCAGTTTGAGGAACAGTTCCAGGACCATGTAAATTTTATTAATACTGATGTGTTTGGTGTTTTTGGACAATTAGGATATTGAAATTTTGGTGGAATATTCAGCAATGATTAGTGTAGTATATCAGCACAAAATGTCTCAGCAGGAGAAAACAATGTTGATGTTTCAATGTATTAAGGAAGATATAACAAGGAATCATAAGGAAATGATGGAATTGATGCAAGATACAATAAAATTAGGAAAACCCCAGCAAAGGACAATAAAAAATGAACAAAAAATTCAGAAAATAGAGGAGAAACCAGAAAGTGTTGAGGAAAAAACAGATGAGATCATTCCAAAAATGATACAAATAGACAGAGATGGAAGAGGTAGCAATAATTTTTTTTTTATTGAAAAAGTTTTCAAATACAAATTTTTCCCCCTTTTTTTCCCCTCTCCCTCCCCCTCCCTAACCCCCCCTCCCCACCCATCCCCCCTGTGACTTCTTCATAACAAAAAAAAACCTAATTCATAACAGATTACTTACTCCCTCCTCTAGATATTGACCTTTACTTACTAAAAATATTATTAATATTATAACATCCCCCTTTATCCATACATATCAAAAAAGAGAAAAGAAAGGAAAAAAAAAGACATTATACTATGACATTATAAAATAACTTCTCCACTTTAAAACTATACGATAAGTCCTACTTTAACATTTAATCTTCTATATATATTACTATAACATTTCAAAGCGGCCTTCCCCATAAAATCTAGTTTAACATTTATTCCACTCTATCCATTTCCTCCACTCCCCTAAATATAACACTTAAAAATCCCTTTTCTTAGACTAATCAATCTACTAAATAGCTTATTCACCCACCATCATGCAAAATTGCCATACACAACATTTCTTAACATCTTTGATTCACTGCCCACACTACTTAAAAATATATGTCTATATTTTCCATTATATCTAAATAAAAAAAAAAGAAAAGACAATGACTTTAAATTTATAATCCATATAGTATCTTCTTTGAGGTCTTTCCACTGGATTGGTAGAACCAACATCCATAATCGGGTAACATAGCTTACTGGTGCAACAGTTTATTCAGGATCTTCAATCATATCTGCCCCCATCAGTAGTAGATATCTTCTTATATGTATAAAAGTAAAAACAACCACCCGAGTGACATTATAATTATATTCCATATAGTAATAATTGTGGGTTTCATCAGGATTATTAATTCCCATCATCGTAGTGGGTAACAACCCGATCTTCTGCATGCCCCAGCATAATTCTCTTGCCTTGTGATTCAAGATAATATAATATGTTTATCAACACAAAAAGAAATTCCAAAATGGATAATTCAAATCCATCAGTTTAAGGCTCGTTTCACGTCCCCA